AACTTGAAATTTGATGGATGAGAAAAAAAAAAAACAAGATCTTAGCAAACTCAAAACACTAAATATGACTGTGCTGAAGAAAACAATTAAGATTCTTACACACAAATGTAGAGAGAGTGTTTGCACAAAGAGATGTGTCATACTCCTACTGGTGGAGGACTTTTCTGCATGATACATCATTATGTATTAGTGCAAATTCACGTGAACACATGAAATGAGGTAGGAGTTTTTGCAAGGTTGGTGGCATGCAAATCACACTGGCAGAATGTGAGAACTCAAGATAAAATAGCTATCTCTGTATAGAGATGAGTATTCATTTCAGAAAATACTATTTTAGATTTATTGTTAACCAGAAATGGTTGAGAGGGTAGAGATTGGGGAACACCTGGATGAAAGTGATTATTTCTCAACTAGGTTTGATATTTTGCTTCTATGAAAATGAGGAATAATAACATTTTGGTTACAAGTTTCAAAAGCAGATTTTTTAGGGATGTGGCAAGAATTATCTGTTGTGAATTGGGCAACTGAATTAGTTGGGGATACTTATCAAACTGTGAAATTTTTTGAAATATTCAAGAAAAATTTTTTCTTATAGAAAAAAGGGCGGCTGCAAACAAACACCAGGTTGGCTCACACAGGGTATAAAGAATAAACTTATATAAAAGCACTATAAATTTAAGAAGTTTAAAATGGTTGCTGTGATGGGAGACTGAGGATTATAGAAGATTGAGCACATTAGGGTATTGAAAAGTGTATATGAAAAGGTTGACTGAAAATATAAAATAATAATTTTTTTAATAAAATACATTAAGGAAAAGTAAGATGTCAGAATGGGGATAGTACCACTAAGGGCTGATAAAGGAATCCTCATTTCTGATGATTACGAGAAGTCTGGGTAATCAAATTCTACTTTTTCTTCAATTTTTACTGATGAAGTTTATATAATATTCCTCACCCTAACTACCTGGTAGATAGGAAGCTTAAGAAAACATCAGGAAGAATGATAAAGCTCTTGGCCCAAATAATATTTCCCCAAGGGTTTTGAAGAGGGTTAAAGATTGGATATGTGATTCACTGGTTTTTTTTTTTTTTTGTTTCTGTTTGTTTCTTTGTTAAGTCTTTAAATAGTGGTCAAGTGCCAGAACACTGGCTAATGTTTATCCTCTTTTCAATGGAGGCAAGAAAATCTGTCCCAGTAATTAAAGGCCTATTAATCCAACATCTGTGGTAGTAAAAGTTCTTGAAAGTCTGATAAAAGATACTTGCAAAGTCATCTAACAAAGTTTAGAATTCTACTGTATAGTCAACATGACTTCACTGGGAGAAAATTCTTGCCTTACAAATTTTTTGACATTCTTTGAAAAGGCTACTGCTTATATAAATGAGGGTAAGGGTGTAGATTTGGTGTATTTGGATTTTCAGAAAGCATCTGACAAGGTGCCACATAAAAAGCTTGTAAAAAAAATGAGCTCTGTAGGTGTGGGAGATAAGTTGGCTCATTGGATAGAAAAGTGGCTGGGTGGAAGAAAGCACAGAGTTGTTATAAACATACTTCAATCAAACTGGATTAATGTCATGATTGATGTCCCTCAGAGCTCAGTGTTAAGTTTAATCTTAGAATGGACATAAAAATCAATTTTGGTAGAATACGAGTCATCTCCAGCCCAAACAGTTTCATTTTCCTAAAAGGGTGGTTGGCTTTTAGAATGAGCTGCCTTAAGATGAGGTAGATACAGTAAATTTAAGGGAAGACTTGATTGAATATTAGTGGGATAAAGTGGCTTTGGGCTGTTTTTAAAGTTTAGTTTACTTTGGTGAACAGGCTGGCCTGGGTGGAGCAAGAGGTTATTATTAGGCTATTTAGTTAAATGTTTTCAAACAGTTGACTTGAAAATAGCGAGTTGTAAATGATAGATTTATATTTATGAGACACATTAAAAATCCTATTGTGTTCTGATCTTGTCAGTCTTAGATTTTCATTACTTCAGAAAAAAAATGGTTTTTTTAGCTTACATTTCTAGCCTTACTGGATTTGGAACTGCACTTAGAAAAGTTTAATTTTATCAAAAGAAATCAGACAGTTTTCTTTAAATATTAACAATTAACTTTATTTTTGCTAATGAAAAAACATTTCAAAACCCAGAGAGCTTTGAAGGTTTCACCCTATTAACTTCCCTTGGCCACATTAATTACATGTCTTTTATAATAAGCTATAACAATGTCAATAAACTACAGTAAAATAAAATGATTTTTGTGAAAAATTATTGAAATCGAATGATATGAAAAAAGAGTATCTTTATAATAATACTCAAAAAATCTATTCCTATTCCATTTATGAACAACAATTTTAAACAAAATTACTTAAAATTTTGCATGTACTCTCAACTCCCACAGAAATCCAAAGAAATATTTCAAAGGGCTTTATGAAAGAACCCCCTACACACATACAAAATTTTTGAAAGTTCTTACAAATTTTTAAATGATCTCATATGGGTTTTCTGAGCCCATCTAGACTGGATTTTTAAAATAAATATTTATAAATAGATTTTTTCAGAGTTTTCATACTGCAAGTACCCAAATTCGGAATACAAGGATTTGGGGGGCTTCAGGATTGGCTGCAGTAACTTACATGAACACTGGCATGGACATGTAAGGGATCCTTCAAAATAAAAATCTATGTTATGAATTTTAAAATCTTCATCTTGGAACCCCTTTTTTCACTTTTTGAAGTATGTAATCATAATATTTCTATACATTTTAGTGTTTTTTCATATCTTTGATAACGTTTATTTTGTTGTAATTCTTCAGTAAATCTTGTGCTTTATTCTTGCAATTCTTCTAACATCCTGTCCATTTCTTTTTCATTGTTCAACTTTCCATCTCTTTCTTCTAATTTTCTGTTTAATCTTCTTTTAATTTTTGTCTCTTTCTTCTTGACATTCTTTTAATTTTCTCCCTCTTCTAAATTTCTGTCAATTTCTCCTTGACTTTCTTTTAATTTCCTGTCTCCTTCTTGATCATCTTTCCACCATTTCTTCTGTTAGATAATTGTTCCATTAAAAAAACTGACAAAAATATAAATACTAGACTAAAAAGTCTTTGTAATAAGACTGAAGACTATGGATGCTGTATGTATATTAAATTAATTAACTGAAGGTTGTGTTTAAAACGTTTAAAGTTTCCATAGTGTTGTAAAGAATAACTTGGAATAGTGATTATTTTCTTCAAAATAACCTGAATGAGATTCAAGGGAAAGTTTTACAGGGTTTGCATTTAATTATCATAAAGTGAATAATGGAAAAATACTTGATGTTGACAGGATCATATAAAGATAGATGTGTTATGCTAAAAAAGAAACAAGCTTATATGGGAGCCTTTAATTTCAGAATGTAGTTCCACATGGAATGTTTCTTCTTTTGATGCTGACAAGTTTAAAATCATGAAACATTGCCTATTAAACAAGCTTTTTTAAAACCTTGTTTTTCATATCAAAGAGACATGATTAATAATTAATGTTACGGTACATGGGGATTTAGATGCTAGTAATTATAACATGATCAGATTTTATTTTCATATTACTACAACAATTAGGTGTTCATGTCCTTCTGCAAGGTGAGATGAAAGATTGGGAACAGATCTAGACAGGAAAAATGTAAATAACTCATTAAAAATCAGAATGAGCTGAAAAGGATTGTATCCATTTTAACTGAAAGCCCATTCACAAATGGATGATAAAAAGAAATAATTTAAAAATTATATATGTAAAGCTATTACAGATACAAAACTTACAAATACTATTAACAATATTAAGGTTTATAAAACAAACAGAGATCAAGAATGTCACTGTTAATCTTCAAATTGAGATAAAAGTATTTTGGCTCAAAGCATCAGTCATATGTACTGCATAGAAAGAGTTAAGTATATTACTGACCTTTGAAAACTCCAATGACAAATATGTAGATGAAAAAAATACAAATAAGACATTAAACAGTTTTACAACTAAATGCAAGATGAGGTTCCTCACCTATCCAGATAGTTAGAGACTAGGTATGAACATTCTTTATATTCTATATATAAATGTTAAAGAAAAAAAATGATGAACCCAACTTGTTACTGCTGAAACAGAAATATTTAGGTGTGACTGTTAATAATAATAAAGAAAAAAGGGCTGAAACAGAATGTTTAATTATAGTTAAGAGGTTGAAAAATGTTATTTTTTTTCTTTGCTCATGACACTTGGAAGATCTGGATTTATAATAGTTAAGTTTGGTACTCTTACTACAGGAAGAATGACATATTAGAAAATGTGCTAAGACACTTATAAGAATGATACCTGGTTTCAGAAATTTAAACTGTGAGAAGCTTAAAGTTTTGAATTTGTTTCCTTTTTTACAAGATTTATGAATAATTCAATACAAATGTTGAAAATTGTTACGATTTTGAACAATCTTCCTGTGGCACGATTCTGTTTGAGTAATGGAATCAAGAGGTTGTAAATTCAAAGTTTAAGGTCAATAGAATTCTAAATTTTGTATTCATTGAACTTAAAATATAGAAAGTTACTGCCATTTTATCAGTTTGTTGCAGAATTATAATTGTACAAATTGCACTGACATTCCAGTTTCTAAAGCTAATTAAAGTATTAGTTTCACATTAAATTGGTAAAGCCCCCCCCCATTTTTTTTTTACACATACCCGATTGAATTTAAACAAAATGTGGATAAAACCTTAAATGGAATTTATTAAAATATTCCATGCCATTATAAACAAATACTACAATTTTCCAAATATAAAATTATTAGGTTTCATCCAATAAAACAAGTATTGAATTGATGCTATTACTAATGACACTGATGGCGACAGAACAAAATGTTTCGCCATAATAATTTATGAAAAAAACCAACTGATTATTTTGTGATAATATAAATAATAATACAAAATAGCGAAATTTTATAAGGCACAATACCAAAGTTAACTAACCAGGCTAAACATCCACCTACCTTACTTATCACTTTCAGCGTTCCTTCACGTTTAGGTCCTGGTTTAATTTCAGACATTTTATATCTATTGTAAAAAGAATAAGACTACCTTACAAGTTACACTAATTACGATGCCTCGTTGAAATTATAGCAAAACTTCTTATTGAACGCCCTCCGAAACCCCAAAAATCAGTCACGTACGTCAATTTGTAAAGGTTGCCGGTAGGACGTAAAGAGCATGCACATATTGAGGTAAATATATAAATATAAAGTAAAATTACTAGCTACTATATATTTTCAAACAGAGTCTTTTGTTTGTTTCTCAAGAGAATTTTCACAGCGCATAACTGTCTCTAATATTAAACTGTTATACTAGGGGAAACAGCTAGTCAACAGCATCCACCGCCAACACTTGGGCACTTTCGTCTGATCGAATAATGCTGTTTGTTAGCGCACAATCGTCCAATTAAGACGGACCACGTTTTTGCAACAAGGGGCCTTACACAGCAAACAATCGGTTTTACATGCTCAGTCCCAGCCAGAGTCAGTATGCTCCAGTTCCAGATGCCATCCATACCCCCCTTTCAATATCATATTCAGCGTGCCGTTCGACCTGCAAGCTCAAACAATTTCAAGGCAAAAGAACAGACCAAATATCTAGCTTACTTTGCTCAGAATAAAAAAATATAAAAAATTAGTAAACCTGGAGAAGTAACATATTTGTCCAGCAAGAATTCCACAATATTACGAATGACAAGTAATAAAGATTTCAATAAACTTCAAAGACCCGATAATTACTGTTACTCACCAGCCAATAGATGAACTTAACAGCTTTTTTTGTTGTTGTTGTTTTAGCAAGGACACTGGATCAATTTATTTTAATTTAATGCCGTGAAACCTTACACCAAACACCGACAAACAGGTTAGAACAAGTACCATAGATTTTTAATACACTGTTGCGTCAGCGAGGTCACGTGACTAGTATCACGCCACCTCCTTCTAGAAATATATTGTTCATTCGTGAATTGTCGGGAGACTACTAGATTGTGGGTAGTCTGGTATATATAAGACGGTCACAACGTGACGGGGCAATGAGTAATTGAACTGCAGTCAGACAGGGTGTAATTGAAAGGAGTATTGTTGGAGTCGAGCTCGTGAGACGTTCGTTGAGAATTATAGCGTTTGTTATAGCGCGACTGTTGAAATTAAGTGTATCGCAAAGTTATATTCAGAAAGAATAAACCAGTTT